GGCTTTTATTGATTATTTCTAAACTGCCTTATCCATTTATATAAAGTGATAATAAGGCTGCCCTTCAAAAACATGAGTTGAATCATAAAAATAATAAACATAATATTGCTTATGTAAGTAAGATACTTCAGTATTTTAATTGGCAGTTAATACACAAGATTTGATTTCTTCATCTATTTTTGGCCATTTACACATATATCTTTTCTTTGCTAATAATGATTTATAAGAATTTTTTATGTTCTAGTGATAAAGCTGGAAATACCTTTTTGTGGTTCTGTGTATATGTGTGATTTGGGATTGGATCCAGGGTACTACACATGCTAGGCAAGAATGCCACCAAACTATATCCTAAGCCCTTTACTTTAAATTTTATTTTGAGACTGGGTTTCTGTAAGTTGCCCAGGCTGGCTTTGAACTTGTGATCCTCCTGCCTCAGCCTCCCAAGTAGCTGTGATTACGAGCATGTGTCACCTTGCCCAGCTGGAAATATCTTTTATTGTGTATATTAATGCCTTTTAATGTTGTTTTTGGTACTTTGTATCATATAAAAGTTTAAAAATTTTATTTAATCAAAATTGACTGATTTTTTTTCCGCTATGATTTGGTTTCACATTTAGAAATCCCTCTATAGCAACACAAATTTCCACATATTTTGTCTAATGCTTTGGGTTTTTTTAAGCCATAAATTAAGTTCCTTCTGTGACATATTTTTGTACATGACATAAGGTAAAGATGTAATTAAATCTTCCCCAAGATGTTAGGCAATTGCTTCAACAACACTTACTGAATCATTTACTAAACTGACCCTTTCTCCATATGTTATGATTTGGATTTGAGGTGCTTCGGAATGCTCAAGATTGGATCATGAGAGCTGTAACATAATCCATGAATTAGTTCATTTGCTGGATTAATAATTTGAATGAACTGAGTGGTAACTATATGCAGGTAGGGTGTGGCTGGAGAAAGCAAGTCACCAGGGGCAGTCTTTGGGAGTTATTATTTTGGCACTTCTGCTTTCTCTCTGCTTCCTAACGGCCCTGAACTGAGCTGCTGTCCTCCACCAAGACCTCCTGCCATAATGCTCTGCCTCACCTCAGGCCCACAGCAATGGAGACAGTTGACCATGGACTGAACCTTTGAAACCATGAGCCAAAATAAACTTTTCTTCCTCTAAGTTGTTCTTGTCAGATATTTCTGTCAGAGCAAAAGAAAGCTGACTAATACATCATATATTGAAATGTCACCCTTCTCACACATTACATTTTTACATATATTTGGGATTATTTCTGGACTTTCTGTTCTATTCCACTGATCTGAATCATTCTGTACTAGTAAAACCTAACTTCAATAATTATCATAACTTGTACATTTTAATATCTCTTCACTCATTATTTAATCCCTTTTGCCTC